GAGTTGTCAAGGGAGCTGATGATCTTGCAGGACCATGTTTTCAAAGACCAGTAGTTGATACAGCTTAGACAACTCAGCATTTGGATTTTTAAGAATAAGTAATTAGCATCACATACTAATGAGTTCTTGTCCAAAATAATTTTTGAGTTTACTTAACTATAATTCTGTGACTTAAACAGGCTAATAGCTTTAATTTATTTTACTTAGCAGGGCTTTTTGGGTTTGCCTTCAAACACTTTTAGTAACTTCAAACTTTTGGGCCATGGTATGTAAATAACATTCAAATGTGTGCTCTGAAGGGTTTTTCAAAACTAAACCGTGTGTGGGGAAGGCGCTCAAAAAAAGAAAAAATCCTGTGTCAGAAGAGAATTTTTAACTATGAAGCAGGTTCTACTTCACAGAAAGAAAAGCCCTGAAGTATAAAGCATGCATATGCCTATCAATTCTTTCTGAAAGAGCTAATGCAGGATCTAATTGCTCCTCACTGCCGAGCCAGCCAGGTTGCTGATCTCCGCGCATCGATGCCTGGCTTGGATGTGGCGGTTTGACCTCACCCAAATTTAGGGATGGCAGTGAAACTTTTTCTGCATAGCTCTGAGTCTTGCATTTTGCTGCAGGATTGTTCTCTCACTGCGTCGTCTGGCACGGTACATGGGGCAGTTCTTACTGCTTCCTGATGTGTCACTTTTAAGTTGAGATTTTTTTTTTAATTTTTTTTTTCTTGCTAGGGCAGATCTCTATCTGCTGCTGTGGGTTTTATGGCCTCGAACTGAGCGACTGGGTTAGTGCAAAAGGAAACGAATGAGTCACCCACAGAACTTGTCAGCAGGCTGGGAGGGAGCTCCGCGACGGGGGTGGATAGGGTGGAACAGTAAAATTTTTGACCTCACCCCTCTCTAGGCACGTGTCATTCTGAGCAAGCTTCCTTCAGAGAGCCTTCAAGAATTTTTTCCAAGAATCTTAGTTCCAGAGTTTCTCTTTTCTCTGTACTAGGACGAGTGTATTTTAGAAAAGCTGGGTTTTGCAAACATGTGTTGCCACTGTTTGAAAGCTCGTTTTGGAGGTCTCTGGTGAATTCTTTGGCTTGAAAAGCACCTTGTGCTCCAGCTGAAACAGGACGTTTTGATGGTGTGTGGATAGAATGTGGGTCCTTCAGCAGGGCTACGTGGGAAGGACAAGTGACCTGGGATGGACGCGGAGTGTCAGAACAAGCGCGACTGGGCTCCAGCCTCCTGTCGGAATGGCAGCTTTTACGGGATCAAGTTGTGGTGCCGGCTGCGTGTGTGTAAACGCGAGCCACGAGAGTGAGGTTTTGAGGAAGAGGCAAAAAGAGGAAAACTGAGCAGCTCCTGAGCGGACTTGGTAACCAGCAAATGCAGATTGCCGCTTACAGGTGCAAAATGAGTTGAGATGGTTTGAAAACACTGGTCTTCAAAGCACTGAAGTATTCTTTAAATACTGGCTGACAAATTAGCGGGCTCTGCTGTGCATCCTGTGCGCTGGGTTATTTTGAAAGGTGATCCAAGTGACCTTTCCAAAGGTATCCGTGTTTTGCAATCCGTGGAAGCTGCAGCTGTTGCGAGCTGTTTCTCTCTCGGTGTAGCTAAGGCAGCACTTTTACTGGTGTGTTTTGAAGGAGGTAGTGGAACTAGGAATTCCTTACGATGTTTTTTTACTTGTTTTTCATTAGACCTGTCTCCCTGAGCTTGTATAGGCTCGATACAGAAGGGCAAGCGACTTGCCCTATTGAAGTATCTAATTTAGGAGTCGATGCCGTGATCGACGGGGCAGCCACTGGAGGTGAACATTGTAGGTGTGCTGGGCTTTCCCTTACGGCAATCTCAAGTGCAGCTTCCACCAAGTCAGGAATTCATTTAGCTTTCTCTCTTCATTAGTTAATCACTCTGATTTATTTATGCTAGTTGATACGTCTGCCCCTTCGTTTTAAGCTTATCGTTGCACGTTCATAGCACTTTGAAAGACATTCTTCTCAAATTGGCCTCATTAGGGCTGTGGGAGAGGTGAGGATCTCGTGCTGCTGCTTGGTGTTACCTTAGTCCCGTGTAGGTCAGAGACTGTCAGAGCTCCCTAAACTGCAAAGATAGGCATCTTGATTGATGGTTATTCCCTGCTAATTAAGTTAAACAGCATCAGGAGCTGACTTCCAAGCATATCTAGTTCTTTCCAGGTGCGTGAATGGTTATTACTCGGCTTGTTTGTCCTTCTCTCTCTGCTTTTTCTCCTCCTCTGGTTCCTGACGGAGCCTGTCGCATGTCATTTGTAGCATTGATGTGTTGGATACTTCTGCTCCCTTTGAGGCCAGCCACACAAAACATGTTGTAATTTTTTGGTTTCTCCCCTTGTGCTATCTTGCTTTCTGAGGATAAAAAGGTTAATTGGATGAGAAGTTATTTCTTGTTTTGTGTTGTGCGTAGACCTGGTTATTATTTGGTGGTGTCGGTTTGAGAACACGTGGTTCTCTGGGGATTTTGAAGTGCAAATTTGCTAGCTAACACAGGGAGGAAGAAATTTTACTTGGGGAGATCAGAAGTTGTAGACAATAGGGTTTTTCCTGTTTTTCATTTTCTTAATTCGAAGCCTGGTTTCTCTTCTTAAACTTTAGCTTAACAGTTAGCAGTTGAAAGTCATGGGAGGAAGGGATATACGTGTCAGTAACCAAACTTTTAAAAATAGGGTTGTGTGCTACATAAACTCCTTATCCTTCTGGCAGTAATTTTTTCAGACTTAAATACAGTGCTTTACATTTTTAATCACTCCTTAGCTCTCAGCTAATTAAATGCTTCAGTGATACTCCTTTGGGGAAGGTAAGGTGGTGCCATTCCTGTTCTGCAGATGGGTTGAGCTACTGAAAATGGCTTGGCCAAGGTCAGACCACAAGCGGCTGCAGATCTGAGCTGGTGACTCCCCCTGCCATACTTAATTTACTGGAACATGTCATCTCCATGTGTCCTTTCTTAATGGCTTGGTAAATTGTTTTTACAAAAGACTTCAAAAATAATTGGGATGAAATTCCCTCTTTGATTTGCTTGAGGGAGGAGAAGTGTAACCGTAATGCCCTGATTTGATACACCTCACAGTGCAAATAGCGCTGGATGAGGCTCTTCCAACCAAATTATTGGTGCTGAAAAGAACAACGTTTGAAGGATTTGTTTCAATTTGATGCAATAGCTCTTCCCATCACAACAGTGAACTTTGTAACGCTGGAAGCCTCCGATACTCAGGATCCAAGTCTTGATCTCCTATGCCAAGATCTGTTGATCGCTATTTTTATTTAAATGACCTTGTTAGCCCTCAAAAGTTAGTTCTGAATCTCTTCCTGTAGTGTAAGTCTGCGGGTCACCCTCCAGGACGTGTCAGCGTGGCTGGAGTGCGTGTTCAAATGGGGGAAAACCAGGCCAGTGTTTGCCTGAAAAAAAGAATTCCTTGCATCAAGTTTTCCAGGTGTTGGACACATGTGGATGCTGCGACTTCAGCCGTTCTGTTGCTCGTGCATAATTACTCTGGCAGCCTGTAACGCTTTTTAACAAAGCGTTTGCTGTGAGGTTTGGTAATGTGTGTATGAGAGAGTTGTGACAAACATGCAAGAATTTTCACGTGTAAGGGGCTTGAGCGTAATGCGTTTAGATGGGACTCTTCCATCTGCGGTGAAACTTAATCCTGCAGCTTTTACACTGATAAAAGATTCTAGGATTCATTTTTGAAATTTGTATTTCAGTCACTCAGAGTAAGAACTGCATTAAGGTCGGGGGAGGTTATTGAAAACATCTTTATTCTTGCCTCTGGCAACCTAATTAATGTATTTTTTTGGCATTGAAAGCTGTTCTTTAAGGAAATAATTGCTGTTCTTTAGGTGATTTTTGACTTCATGTCAGTGAAAAAGGTAATTTTGTAGCACTTAATTTGACCATTTTAAAGTGAGGATCTCATTAAAATGTTGAATGCACCAGCAGTTTGGGGTGTGAACTTCCCTGCGCGTGTGTTCTGCCCTAATTGTACTCACTTGAGTGTGCCGCGCTGACCTTTCCGCTCGAGTTGAGGGTTTGTGACTTCTGGCTGCTTGTTTGGATTTTATTCAACTGATTTATAACTTTTTCCTTAAAAAACCCAATTGTCAGTAGCAATTCTTCGGCTTCACGCTTATTTAAACGCGGTGGAAAGCCGTGTTGCTTGTTTAGTATTTCAGCCTTAAATGAGTTGAGCTACTTTGGGTTAACTGGGTTTTCATCCCCCTAAACTTCATGGCAGAATTGTATTATTCCTTGTCCTATTGCTGTTGCTGAAACATCTGCGTGTTAGGACTGGAACCTGCTGCTGTCTTAATAGCCTGGTCTGTAAACACAAATAAGATTGAGAATAACTAAAAGTTATTGCTGCTAAATGACCATTTGGGGTTTTTTTTTGCAATGACTGCGTTCTGGAAGGTATCTCCCTGCTGCTGTTGGGAGTTTGGTGATACAACCGTGTTGGTGAAATTTATCTGTTGGCAAAAGCTCAGATACATGGCAGTTTGGTTATCATCTTGTTTCTGTTTGTACTGCTTATTTTGTTCAGAAAATAAAGCTACACCAACACTGTTTTTCACATACTTGGGTTTAAGCCAAGCAGGTATGACCGCACCAAGAGACCCTTTGAAGCGTGTGCTCGGCTTAGTGGTGTTTTCCCCTCTTTTAGGGCACCCAGGTGGGAAGGAGGGGCTGCAGAGAGCACAGAAAGGTTTCCTCGCTCTTGGTTCCGGTGCGTGGCTGCCGGGAACAGCAGCTACAAGGAGTCCCGTGTCTCTGGGCTAGAGCGTACTCATTGTGCCGAAAGAATATTTGGCATTACAGCTCTCAGGATTCCAGTAAAGATTGTTCTTTTTTTTTTTTTTTTAAACATAGCCTTATCTAGTCTAATTTGACTTTCTCTGGGAGGGTCAATATTTGGTGTTGCTGGAAATAGAAGCAACAAGTCCTCTTGACGTGTTGTTTTTCTTCTCTTTAGGGGTTCTGTTGGAATATACGTCGCACATTTATGGCGATTCTGAGCGTGAGGGCAGACTTCTGCCAGGCCCAGCACAGCATCCTGGCTGACAAGTGAGCTCAGCACAGGGGGATCTACGTGCCATAATAACTCTGCCTTGAAGACTCCGGACACAGCGAACACACTCAAATATATGGGATATCTTCTGCCCATTGGAAGCATATTCCTTTTACTGACTCTAGCAAAACTAAGCGTCAAGAAAACAAAGTGGAGAGAAAATCTGCCCTTACTTTTTTGCCTCACCAGTGCCTAAATGTAGAACAGGCTGCCTAGTCTTGCATGTAGTCGGAATTTTTGGAGTCGGAAGGATACCACCTGCAGTAGTTGAGGCTGAAGTTGAATTCAAGCGGATTCTGAAGCAAACCTGCTCTTCTAGAAGCGAATTCTTTAAGGAACAAAGCCGTCAAAGCAAGCTCTGATCAATCCCAGGCATTTTAGTGGTCTTTTTAATGTGTTCTGCTGTGAAACGTTTCCAAGGTTATTGATTTTTTTTTTAAAATTTTTTTTCTTTTATTGTTTTGGCCCCTTACACGTTTTGTTTGCCATTATGAACCGTCCAGCCCCCGTGGAAATTACTTACGAGAATATGCGTTTCCTGATCACTCACAACCCAACCAATTCAACCCTCAGCAAGTTCATAGAGGTAAGGCAGCCAAGTCAAGCATCGGCCTCCTTCCCTAACGGGCTCGTACGTTCTGCAGAAACCCTCGATGCACGTTCTTCGTGCACGTTGCTCAATGCTTTGCCTATATGTTACGTGTTGCTTGAAACTTCAGGCTTTTTTTCTTATCTTTTAATGTGTTTTTCACATTCTTCTAATATATTGACCTTCTGGCTTTTAATGGTTGTAACTGGTTTCTGACCTCTCAATCCTACTCTGCGGGAGAAAAGTGATGTCTCAGTTTACAGGATGTGCCCTGTCAGACTGCCCTGGAATTATCAGAGATTTTGGGTGCCACAATTTATCCATGAAAAATGACTTCTGCCTGGATTGAGCTCTGGGAAAAGTCAGTTACGATGGGCAGTGGGTCCCACCAGTACTGACACAACAAGTTCTTAAATACAGCAGCATTTAATATTCAGTTTCCTGGAAAAGTAGCAGATGGTCTCACCAGAGAAGCAGTAGTACAGTGTATTTCTTGTAGTTTGCTCTAAACCTGCTGTATCTTTCTGCCCCGATATCTTATATCTACAGGGCTTTTATCTTGTGTATGCAGGTCTTTGTCATTCCAAAGAGAGCCTGTCATCTGATACTGATGTTTGACTGTGGTTATTAACGGACTTCCAGCATTTATCAGTCTCCTCTTTGCTATGAATCTGCTCCAGTTTTAGTGGTTAACTTTGAAAGCCACATTCTTTTGGTCTTATATATAAATTTTTCCCCCCCGTTATTGTGGATTGGCTTCCTTGTTCAGAAATCTTGACTCTGCAATAGATATTATGGCTAATTGTTAGAAGATACAGTGATTTAGTCCAAACATGAGAGGAAATTCTGCTTGCTGTATGAACCTTCAAAGTGAACTGGAACAGCTTTTGTTTGATCTTCTGATTATTTATCTAGCACAATGTGCTACTTATAGTGCATTACAAGGAAGCTGGGGTATGGTGGTGTGTGTGTTCTGTTCCTCCCTGCCTCAAAATGTCAACACTGGCTGAAGCAAACAGTTCCAAGCTTCTATTTAAAGAGAAGAAGAAGCTGCTTGGAGAATATAAGCAGCTATTTTAATTTTGCTTTTCTCTACGCAATTTTTTTCCACCTTGGCACTTCCCTAGAGAAGAAGAATTCAGTGGTGTCTCACGTTTATTCCTGTCACTTGTAACCTTTGTCCTAATGTGGGCCATAAATCCCTCTCTTTCTGCATTGGCCCTTGCTCCTTCATTGTGTAGTCACCTTGGAGCTATGTAATAGTCACGACACCACTGACACTGCATAAAATGTTCAGTTTTGTAGCTGATGAGAGAGTGGTTTTTTTTAATTCTTCGCTCTGTCAGTGTGCTCATGTGTTTTCCTTTTCCTTAAAGGAGCTGAAGAAGTACGGAGTCAGAACCTTGGTGCGAGTTTGTGAAGCCACTTACGATCAAGCTCCTATTGAAAAAGAAGGAATCCAAGTTCTAGTGAGTTGTCTTTTAAAACTGCCTAAAAATGAAAAATTTCATGTCTAGAAGTGGCGGGAGTGGCTTCTGTGCTGTGGGCAGGAGTTTACGACTGTTTCAGATCGGCCAAATCAGTGTGATCCCCACCTGGCCTTGAGAAGCTCGCAGCACTTTTGTGCTTGCTGATTACTGTTGCCTGAGCACATCAGTTGGAATAGAAATGTCTGTTTCTGGATTTCTGCATTTGTTTGAGATGTTTTGGTTGCCTTGTAATGACCAGTTTGATACAAATCCATTGTTCAGCCTTTGTACAACTTGGTTTGGTCCTTCTCTCTAGATGCAGCACTTCTTGACTTTATTGTTGACCTTCTCAAAGTGCAGATAAAACTCCCTTCTTCCATCCTTACAAAAAATTCCATCTCTTGAGACCGTAGCTGACACATTGATGCAGGCTACCATGGTGAGATATTGATTGTAGCCTCATCCCTGCTCACCTCGAAATTGGTGCCGGGCTGCTGGTGCCTTCCCTGGTCAGCAGGTGGAATTCCTCAGCTGCTACCCGTAGGTAACGTTAGGCAATGACTGTCTGACTCGATCGTCTAGTGTTCCTTGGTGTTTTAGGGGAGGTTTTTTTAATAGGTGTGTGCTCATACTAAGCTTACAGGCAGTATTTTTCCAGGCAATACTTCTGAATTATTATAGTGTGTCAGATAGAATCAGTTTATTTTACTGGAGTGAGTAATGTTATGTTGTGAGGCCAGGAATTGCATCTTACTTTCTTGTTGCAGGTAGTCTTCTATTGCCTCTTGGTTTTTATGGCTCAATCAGAGGAAAACTTACGCAGTTTTCCATTAGGAGAAAAATCTGTGTCCTGGCATATCTCTGAAAACTCCACGTGCAGGTCAGTCAGGTTTCTTGGCTTCTGGCCCTAGTAAGCATTTGCTGCAGTTCCAGGCAGCCACGTGTGCCTCGGTGTTGTTGGAAAAATCAGTCATTCCAGGGCTACCGCTGCTCCAGGGCTGTGCTCTGGAATCGCATTTGTGTTCGCGCTGGAGCTCTCTCGGGCTTGGACATGGTGGTGTTCTCGGACACACTGCTGGGAACCCTCCAGCTGCGATACTCCCAAGGTTGCCAGAGGTTGGAAGGATTAAACTTCTGGTGTAGAAGCCCTCAGAGCCCTTGTTTAAGCTGGGGCTTAAGAGTATTTCTGTGTTGCTGTGCCAGAGCAGAGATCTGACTTCTCCCTGGAAGACTTAGGGTGGTTTTGCAGGTGTCCAGCTCTGCCCGCCAGCCCTGGCTCCTGCAGCCGTGAGTAAACTCCAGCAAAGTGTAGCAGGCAGCTGCAGGAGCCTGTGTATCTGACAGAGATGAGGGATTTTGGTTCTCAGACTTTAAAAACTTGGTGTTGGCTAGGTTTGAACCGAAAGCAGAGTGTTGGGTTTTTTGAGGAAGCTTTTCGAAAAACTGGAAACGCTGTTTCCACCAGCTCTGCTAAGCAGTGTTCTGCTGGAAAGCCTTTCACTTGGAGCAACACATGCGAGAATCGTGTGTGCGTTTGCCTCAGCTAACAAGCCTCTCTCCACATGGAGACGTACCAGTTCTTAGTATCCCACTGCTGCAGGAGGCAAAATGGGAGAGAGCATAAATCCACCAGGCATCTGTTACAAGTAGTAGAAAGCAGGAGGCAACGGGGAAGTTCTGCTGCTAACGTCATCGCTTATCCTGATGATCCCAGTCATGAGGTTGTCGTAGTTAATTTACTGTATTGCAGTATTGTTTTGCTATTTCAGATAAACTTGTCACCGACATGACCACCCCCTGTATAGCTTTTCCTCCCTATAAATGCTCGCTTTTTCAACGCAGAATCCTGTTGCTATTCAGAAATGGTATTGAATTACCAGCTGGCTGAGAAAATAACACGTCACTACTTAAAGCTAATATTTGCTTGCAAAAATAACATCAAGATTAAAAACACAGCCTGAGAGAGAGAGATTAGTGTCTATTTTAAAACTGTTGAGGTCAGAAGCGTAGTGAAAACGAGAGCATTTCAGCAAAGCCTGCTCTCACGCCGCGGTGCAGGCTCGTGTACTGGCAAGATGGGTGGAATGTGGCAGCTTCAGAGTTGCTTTGGCAGATGGCGTAGTGAGAAAGTAGAGATTTAGATGTTCCATGCGTGAGGTAGTACTATTGCATGCGCGTGTTTATCAACAGAGATTAAATCCGGGAGACAGGAGGTGGGAATAGAATTAGTTTCTCTGAGCTTCTGAAGTTCTTCCAGTTCTGTTCGTCTGTGACAGAAATGTTAAAGCAGAAGAACTGGTAGGTTTCTTTTCTGGAAGTATTTTTGCGCTGACTGGCAACCAAGGAGGCTGTGATAGTTTTCTTCCTAACAACGTTTCGTTGTCGTTACTCTATCAGTGCTTCACTTGCCATTCATCCCTGGATCAGGCTTTCTTTATGCTCCGTGCCCTCCGCGATGGCCGTGCCCGAGCGCCAGCAGGCAGTCGGCACTGCCACTGGGAGACATGAGACCTCGTTGCCGTCTGATGTGGCCATGGCTCTGGTTCTGAAGGTGGGAAAGCTCCGCACTCCCATCCTGCGCACGTGCAGGCAGCTCTGGGAGCGTGCCAGTTGCACATGGGTTTTGAAGAAAGGGATCTTCGTCACCTCAAAGTGCTTTTACTGCCAATCCTGCAGTCGCTGCTGACTGACAAACCCCGAGCTGTTGTGCGGAGCAGTGCTGCTCCAGAGAAAGGGTAAATAATAACCACCACCCTTTCTCACCTATCATCCTTCCCAGCTACTGCAGGGTGGCACAAAGGAGCTATATTTTCCATTTGTGCAATCTCAGTGCATCATCCTGGTTATTAACGACTGTTTTGGTCGTTCAGCTTAGCAATTTGTTTTCTATCCTGTCCGACAGGAATTCGGAGGTGCTGCTGGCAGAACTCATAATCAAGGAGGTAAAAAAAACCTGCAAGACTTTGCCACAGTTGCTCCTCTAAGTCCCAGAATTACTCTTGTTCCTGGTTCTGGGCAGTGTCCCGTGCAGCAGCGCTTTATCGGTGGGTGCTGGTCCTGGGAAGGTGATGCTCTGCGGGGAAGCGACGGTTGTGATTAATTCAGGCCAGCACAGTTGTGTGGACGTGATTGTTAACATGTAAGCGAAAGCAACGTGGTAAAGTCCTGTATTTGCTCTGAAGGAAAGGATTTAATTTAATCCAAATCTAGGACGCAGAACCGACGTGTAAATCCCGTTCTTTGCCGGGCAGTGTCAAAAGAAAGCATCTTGCAGCGGGTAATGCCTCTTCTCTTGGCAGCCCATACGTCTCTTCCTGGGCCACTGGGTGACACCAGGCCTGAAATAATATAGCTGGCAGTGTGTAATTGAGTGGAAAATCTCATAAAAGCCTTTTATTAGAAAGAAAAGCTTTTACTTTCTGATCTTGTTTCTGTAGCCTTTTGTTTTCCTCCATTGTCCAAGATATTTTTAAATTCACATTTTTTAAAAAAAGGTGAGGTCCCTGCACTCTTCAGGCTGTGTATCTTCCTTAATTAATCGCATGTAAAGCTGTTTCAATAACTTGAAGCTTTTTTGGTTTTGTAGTTCCGAGACACAGATTTCCACCTTGCACCTTTTTTCAGTGCTGACACGTTTATAAGCTGCTCCTGGGCTGAGGTCTGGGATTCAGGAAGTATTGGGGGGTGGCACTAAGTGCAGTTCAAAATGAAAAGTCCTGCTGGATTTTTACCTTTGGTTGCACTTGCTCGGAGTTTCTGCGTGCTTATTCCGTGTCTCAGAGAATATTACTTTATGTTAACCTCAAGATACATGAAGACTTGTTTCTAGCCAAGGAAGGAAGAAAAAAGCAGTTTCCCTGCTGTTTGGAGAAGTGATTGAATAATGTGGAACTCACCTATGAGTCTCTCTTGTAAAATGCATTGCCTTGAAAAGTACCAAATAGCTACTAAGTATTATTTTTTCTTTTCCCCTTGCATCTTGGAGTGCTCTTTCTGCTGTGTCCGAGGAGATTATAAAGCATGTGATGTTGTGCTTGGTCTTGAAATGCAGGACATGTAATACTCCGCTTAGCACCAGTTCCAGGAGAGAGCTGTGACCTCGAGAAAATGGGAAGCTTCTCACATGTAATTTTGATTTACAGCCATGTTGATGTTAAATGTAGCCTGGGAAGTTTAAATGTTGCCCTCCCTTTAACAGGCAGAAAAATGGGATTGTAAATGCTGCTTGGTTATTGACTTTGCCGCCGCCGAAGCACTCTTTCTTTTTTTGCTTGTGAACGTGTTCCTTTTGATTTGAAAATACCCAGGTAATTTAACTGCCTTGCTTGTCAGATTCGTGGCAGCTGGACAAGCTGATCCATTAGAGTTGTTATGAAGTACCTTCTCTCTGCTCATCCCTTTGAGTTGTGACGAAGGAGCTGCTCCTCCGTACAGAGTCTGAAGTACAAATAGTCTTTTAAAAGGTCGACAGGACCACAGGCAAAAGTCTGCAGAGTTCTCATCTTTCACATGTTTTTTGAAATGTCTATTGATTTTTACATGTTTTTCTTAAAGATGAGATTTCAAGGGCAGCTATTTTTCTAAAAATTCTATACTACAAAGGAGCTGGTATAGAGTTTTATTGAAATTTTCTTGAAAAGTGCAATTAGATGCTTGTTAAACATTTACTATTGCCTTAGGATATTGACTTGCAAACTTCTGGGCAACCAGAAAAATATCCACAGGATCGTTGATGTGATCCGTGGTATTTCCCTGCCCCTGGTTATGGTCACCTTGCTGCCGATTAGGGGTTGAAGTTGGTATAGCTCATTTAATTTTTACTTTATTTTTGCCTTCAAAGGACTGGCCATTTGATGATGGAGCACCACCCCCACATCAGATAGTTGACGACTGGCTAAACCTGTTGAAAACCAAATTCCGTGAAGAGCCTGGCTGCTGCGTCGCTGTTCACTGTGTCGCAGGGTTGGGAAGGTCGGTATTCTGCTCTCTTGTTTTTACAGTGGGCTTCAAATTAATTTATTTGTTTGGGAGGTAGGTCACAGGCTGGTGTTACGTAAATGCCAATTTATCTGTTTTCTCCCAAGTAACACTTTAATATTTAAGGACATGAATGAACGGGCAAAAAAGATATGTTAAAGAAGTCAAGTAAGCGCAGAGTTGGAGCGTGTCAAGTTCTTAAATTCCTACCTCTAGAGAAGAAGTGATGGGGAAATGAAGAGGTAGAGGGAAAAACAGCCAGTACTTAGCCATGAGCCAAAAACCTAAAGTCAGTTAACATTTGAGGATCCGTTTCTGCTCTGTTTTTATCGGAGGAACACCTTTAGAATGGTGGCCGTCTGTCACTGGAGTGATTTTTTGGCGCCTCTGTTTCTTGCGTAGTATCAGGCCCAAGGGTGCCAGAAGCTTCCCTTCTTGTGCGTCACCCAAACTCGTGCTGCGTGTGTTCCCTGAGGAATGACCTTTCTGTTGCTGTTCTTGGGCTGCTTCTGGCAGAGGGAAGAAGCAAGAGCTTTACAGGTTTTGCTTTAATCTGGAAAACTGTCTGTGTAGTAGGGAATTCAACTGTAGTCAAGAGAGACAACTTTTTGGGAAGTGAAGTGCGGAAGTAGAATGTTTTACTCTGATGTCCTTGGAACACCCAGTTCCATGTGCAGCATGCAATAAAAAAATAAAACGTCTATTTAACACATCTGTTCAATGCTTCATAGATCTGCCTCAGTTAAATCTACGGTCACGTGAGAAGTGTTACACGCTTGTTTCAGCAAAGAAGAAAATTAGGTCATAGTGAAATGAGAAAGCATAAAAGTCTAGAATTGTTGTTTCATGCCCCAAACCATAAGGAGATATTGATTTTCATTTTAACGCGTGCTGAGAGCAGTGTTGTCTGCTAAAAGAAATTTTAGATTAGATACTCGGCAGACAAATGTCGTTCTGTAGATAATGGTTAAGGAGAAAATACCTGAACTATCAGTTCATAGGTTAATTTGATGTATTTTGAGGGGTTCAGTATATTGCTTCTCTAGCCATTGCTTAAATATTGATTTTTCCTTTAGGGCTCCTGTACTGGTTGCACTTGCTCTCATTGAATGTGGAATGAAGTACGAAGATGCAGTTCAGTTTATAAGGCAGTAAGTTAAACTTCCCTTTTCTCAAGAAATTTCTCAGTTCACGTTGTATTTGAGCAGCCTTTGTCTTCAGCAAAGTTTGTTAGATTTCCGATTTGTTTTCTGGTAGCTCTGTCCTGACAGTAATAGGCATGACTGACATGAATGCTGACGCTTGTGCCATTTTCTCTGGTTAGAGATGAGGGTTAAAAAGTGATGTCTCCTTTTGTTTTCCTTTTTTTTTTTTTTAATTTTAACTTCCAAATCTGGGCTTATATATTAAGCCATTGACTTAAGACTTGGATTTTGAACTTGGGAGGAAAAGATGTCTAAGCTGGGGTTGTAAAAATTGTGAATGAATTCAACAGGCACTAAGTGCTCGTAAAGAAAAAAAAATTTTAAAAAGTCTAGTGAGGTTGGGCCCCCGAGCAGAATTTGTGCAGGAAGTAGGTGAGCACCAGCACTCCTCCAGGTGTTGTGGGTGAGTGCGTTCACCCAGGAAATGTCAGCAACCACCCTGTCTGGAAAATAACGAAACTGGTGAAGGATGAGACTGCAGAGCTCTGTGGGTTTAATGATAACATCAGATCTTGAAATGAAGCCCAGCAGGTAAGGTTATGTTGAACGAGCTTTGCCAAAAAGCAATTCATCCTCTTATGGGTTCTCAGGGTCTTCAGTTGTCTTTGCAGATGGTGCTGCCGTCAGCAGATTTCTCTTGAGTTTTTCCTTGCTTAAATTCCCTTTTTCTGTTCCCGGTTATGGTACCGAGAAGTTCTTTTCTGGGAACCTGTTCTGTATTTGTAGCTGAATGTCATGGTCGTACTTAGCGAATGTAATCAGTAGCACATGTCTCTGCAAGGAGATGGTGACCTTGATGTGGCTGCTGGCGATGGAAATAAACTCTCCCAGTCCAAGAAAATATGATGAAATTTTCTAACTGGATTTTGATTTTTAATGTTGGCACATAGGTGATGAACTGCTTGTGCTGGTCTGGTTTCTCCTTCCTCAAAGTGTCCATAGACACAGAACCAAGCCAAAAGGCTGTCTTGTAGGTACAGGAAAGGTTTGAAACGAGGACTAATCTGCCTTGGAATGTGTATGGCGGTCGAAGCAGTACCTTTTCCATTGATATTAGCCTTCATTCTCTCTGTTTTAGGAAAAGGAGGGGAGCTTTCAATTCCAAACAGCTGCTTTACCTTGAGAAATACCGACCTAAGATGCGATTACGCTGCAAAGATGCCAACGGTCACTGCTGTGTTCAATAAACAAAACAAAAAATAAATCTCAAACGAAGGCAGAAGTTAACATGGCTGGTTTCTGGACTCTTGGCACCTGGAAATGTGAATCTGGAATCAAACTACGTCATCAAATTAGTGGTGAAGTCAGTGCTCCTCAACCTCTGTCCTAATGGTGGTGATTGAAAAAAAAAAAAAAATAAAAAAAAATTGAGAGAAACATTTCAGTGAAGGATTGTTTTCTCCTTAAGCTGCAGTTTGAACACCTGCAAGGAGAAAATAAGTTTCTGAACCTTCTGTATTTTTAACTTTTTAAGAAAAGAAATAAAGTAAATTTTATGTCTAAGGAAAACCAGCAGAGCATTGGCTTGTGCAGAAACTATTTTCTTGATTTGAGGAAAGTACCCCACAATTAGGGCCTGGTACATTAATTCCTATGGAACTCTTAAATAGAGTTGCTTTATTTTATTTTTCCTTTTCTTTTTTTTGTCTTAACCTTGTTGGGACCTGGCAAAGAGACATGAGGAGGAGCCTTTGTAGCTGTAGGAGAGCAGTCTGACAGCCTTAAGCCCAGTCTGGGCATATTCTAGAGATGTCTGTGTTGTGTGTCTGCATGGTGTTCAGAGACTGCAGGTGTGAAAAAACTTCGGGTGAGCTTTAACAGAAGCCTCACGACCTTCTATCTGTGGTGAATCTGCTAAAGGCCTTTTCTGGTTGGTGGGAGATGGTGCTTTTAACCGTGAGTGTGTGTGTGCACGTCTGTGTGACTTGGTGTGTGGGTCAGTCTTATTTTTCCAAAGAATTTGGCTGAAACATCAGTTGTCTTTCTGTTGCTAGATAGAAAATCTATCCTGGTGGAAGGCTGATGTCCTAGGTGAGCAAGGGGCAATCCAGGCAAGGTCTTAAAATTAATTTTATCTCTCATAAGGAAGAAGAAAAGGCTTTTTGCTGCTGCCCAGGTTCTCTGCCTTGCTGAACACAGTAAATCAGGGTTTGAGGGGAGGGTCTCTTTTGCATCGTACCCTAGGTGAGGCTGGTACGCACACAGAAACACGGTCCACGAGTGACTGCCGGGTTGCTTGCCCAGGCCAGCCCTCATGTGCAGTTCAGCTGAACCACTGACTGCCTTGCTGGTTTTTTTATCAGGCTTTTTTGGAGGGAGAACCTGTAGTTACACACCGACATGCCTATCCTGTGCTCCCCTTGGCAGGCCATAAAGACGCTGATTTTTCTGGAGTGCGGACTGGCTCCTTGCTCTCTCTCTAGAGCTGTTGGTGTTGTGGGTTATCGAGGCGATAAGTGGTTTCAGCCGAGCTATTTCTACCAAACACACGTTAACTCAGTGCCCTGCCCCGTTAGTGACCTCATGTGCTTTCAACCTGACGTTATGTCTGTAACGTGCAGCCGCGGAAGGCTCTGAGGACAGGTTTAGGGTCATGCTCTCCTGTGATCTCTTGCCGTGGAGCCACCAAAGGCTTTTGCTGGTCTGTGCCTGTAGCGGGTGTGGAGCAGGACCCATCTCTCACCGATACCTCAGCTGCCGGCCGTGGGAGCTGCTTTGGCAGGATTCCTTCCCGTTCTAGACTTCTACTTTTAGTCTGCAGCTTGACCGTGCAAGCGTGTTCAGAACGCAGGTAGTGGGCTTTTAGAATTCTCTTCCTGGAAGGGATTTATAAATTTTAAGTCAAAAAAACCCCAACAGTATTTGTCAAGCCCCTCGCTTTGCGGATAAGCTGACGAACCTGTTTGAGGTCCGTGACTAGAAAACACAGCTTGGTCTGTAGCCTGACTCGAGCTGTGTCCCTGTGCTGAGTTTCTTCCTCCCTTCAAGATCTCATTTCTTTAATAAGGAGACGCAGAAGTGTTGGTGATGTCGATGGCTACAGTAGGGAAATAACACATCTGGTGAAGTTTGAGTCCACCTGAAAGGTAGATCATGCTGAAATTACCGAATTCTGACCTTTACCTTCCCCTCACAAGCTAGAAACGTAATGTTCTGTTTCTGCAAATTACAACTGATACTTTTAGTGAAAGGAAATAGTGGTAGTTAAAGCGATTTGAGAAATGATGGAAGTTGGATTGGAGGGGGGAAGGTGCTGAGCTGGATCAAAAACCAAGCCCCAAGCCCTTCTGAAGAACAATAAAAAAAAATTTTACATGCTGTATGTATGACTTCATGTTCTTCCCCCTAGTTTCACTCTGATTTATAATGTACTAATTATCATATACTATGACTCTACAGCCTTAATTGAGGAGAAATACTGGAAAGCACAGCTGGTCACACAGCAGAGACAGAAATGGGGGGAGTGTAATTGTGACCGATGTCTGGCAGGCACAGCCCTTGGTTCGGCACTTGAACGTAGTGCAATAAAGTTCTTGCAGTAAAATGTCTTCCCTCTGGCTCTTGATGAATTTATTGCAGCTCGTTAGTGTTAAATGCTCTTCTTCAATCTGTTTCACCAGGGCCTTCGGACAAGTTTGTCCTTGCCCCTTCTATTACTGGTCTATTGCTACGTGGCTTGGATTTGCCGGTGGGAAAGGCTGTTCCACCTTTGCGAAGAGGGAACAGCGCTGCAGACAGGAACGGTTCTCTTCCTGTCCAACCCGTCAGCTCACCTCTAACCAAACTAAACCAACCCCCCCGCAAGCCAAACAACGGCTCAGAACTTTCCCAAGAACTCGGAGAGATCTATTGCAAAACTTTCTGTTGTGCCCCGGACGAGACCAGACACCGTGCCGCTTGGCAGAGCTTGAACGGGGCCCTTGTTTCGGGGTAACAATGAGTTTCTAGAGTCCTGGATCCCCGTCAGTTCCCCTTCCTCGGTAGCGGAGCGCCGCTGCGTCGATCTGTATAATTTATTTAAATAAGACTAAGGTGCTATTTTCTGAGCTTCACAGATAACAATCCGATCGGCTTTGCGTTGCTGCCATCAAAGAAATAAGTTACTTGCAACTCGGTATCGTGTTTCTCATATTTATCAGATATTTTTTTTTCCCCACTACTGTACTAGAACAAATTTTCGGTCCCTGTTGGCAATGAGATAATAAACCACTTTGACTGTGAGACTGGCAGCGGTAACTGTGAAGTTCCATGTCCTCTTTGTATTTGTGCAGTTGGTTTGTTCTTTTCGACACCAAACTCTTGCTTGGTTTGTTTTTTGAAGTTTCTACCTTTTTGGTTACCACGCACAAAAGTGAAATGTCTCGCTAATCAGAGGCCACTCGGTATAAAAAATATCGTGCACTTAATTAGAGCTGAGATATTGCTGTATGATAAGAGTTACTTGTTTCTCTTGTTAATTTTTTTCACTAATGTCTAGGTGGCTTCAGATAACTGCTACTTTAACTGGAGGTAACACTTAATCACATGCATATTTATATCACTTAAGGTGCTGCTTTTGGAGCGATTAAGAATAATGAGCAGAGGGGAGTGACTCTGCGTGGGGAAAGAAACTGCAGGAACCACAGTTGGCACTTCTGTACTAGCGTGCATTATTTCAACTAAAAAATTATAAATCATTTAACTTCATCTTAACACTTGCAGCTCACTTGCAGAGAGTGTTTTACGTGCGTGTTTCTTGGGGGAGAGGAGGAATAGCTTTTTGTCAGCAAACGGATTTTGAAGTAAAATGTGAAGGTTGCTCTCAAACCCGTTGTCTCTCTGGATTTGTGGAGTGTGTCGGCTCTAGGCAGCAGTGCTGCCGTGCTGAAGGTGGCCGGAGCCTTGGCTCTGGGTTGTGATGTTCCCCAGCAGAGACAGAAACGAGACTTGGGCCGAGGCACTTGGAGCAGCCGGTGATTTGCAGCCGAGCTCAATAGCAAGTTTGGTGGCTCCAAAAAGGCCGGGTCCATCTCTGTGTCCTGGAGACTGGCTCGGCTGGATTTGTAGAGCTGTAAAGTTTGGGGGATGAGAGAGTCCCTTGACTATTCTATGAAAATGGAGATGTCAGGGAATCCCAGGTAGGATTTTTGTCTAAGGCCCCAAGGGACGTAACGGGTAATGCTTTTCACAGGTGGATCTGGAACACCTTGCGGTTGGGTCTGCCCAAGGGCTGCATAGACGTCGCCACCTTCATAGTCCTGTGGTAAATATTTTTGCAAAACCTTCAGTATGGAGCTAAGTCTTAGGACCTTCCGTTGTTCTGACTGTTTCATCAGAATTTAAATCACTGTCGTCAGTGAGTAAAGTGACACAAGTGAAGTCCTCAATTGTTTTTCATGCCATCTATTTAGTCTAGATCCTGCTACTACTGGTTAGTGGGACAGCACCACAGAGAAAGCTGTCTCGTGAAGCTGTTGTCCGTCTGACAAGATTGGTGGTGCGGTTGCAGAAAGTTGCCTACGTACCACCCAGCACAGGAGCTCCTCTTCTCTTTGGACCACTGGGCAGATCCTCAGCTCAGGGCTGTGGCCGGTACCAGGTAATTGGGCACCCGAGCACTCGGTGGAGGTAGCGGTGTGACCGGCAAGGGGCTTTCCTTGTGGAGAGACAACCGTGGGTGAGATCTAGAGCCTGCTAGAAAAGCCGCTTGATCTTGGCGGTGGCTGCAGCAGCCCTGGCAGGATAGCTGGGATGTGAGGTGGCTGTGTCTGTGCCCTTTCTTACAGGGCTTAACTCTGTAGATGGAGACAAACGAGGGACACCGGGAGCCGACTGCAGAGGAAAAGCCCTGATCCGAAGCGGTGGATGGATTAGAAGAGCTGAAGGTGGGGAAAAGAACCAGGTAAGGAATCGTTTCTCTGTCCAGCCACGGAAACCAAAAGCACTGAGCAGCAACACGAGTCCTTCAGGGCTGCGCGAAGTCAAGAGAGGGAGCGTGTCTGGTCCCGGGATGTGGGACATCCTCTGTGCTTCCCGAAGCCGTTTTGCCGGGGAGCGGGGCTGAATGCTGATGACTGGAGTCCTTCGCTGAAACAATTTGCTCGCTGACAAGCACCCTGAGGGGATGCACATGCAGCCAGGCGGAGGATAGGATGTTGTGAAAGGCCCCCTGCTCCCGGCAAAGCGGGGAGGCTGAGGCTACTAACGTCTGCAGTAGTTGCAGAGAATGGAAAGCACAGCGTGAACCCCTGGCTGAAATAATATTCAGAAAGCCCTTGGGTTGTCTTTGGCAAGGCCGTGTGTGTGGAGCTTGTGACCTTCCCTGGGCTACTGTTTTTTGTTTCTGTTT